AGTGGCCTACCTCCAGGCAAAGCGCTCCTCTGAAATCAGGTCATATCGTGCATGCTGCGCTGTCCCATACTCTGCCACATTTGTGAAAATGAAATCAGGATGTTAAAACATACGCCAGTCTTGCTCTGCACACACTTCTCAATGCAACCCAAACACAAGGCAGCAGATGGCCAAAGGAAAGAGCATGTGCACAACCTGAAATAACACAGGCAGGTCCTGCACTAGGTCTGACAAGACAAAACCTCTTTAAAAAGCAAGGCTTCAATAAACTTGATTTTAACTGGAAGATACAGGCAGTATAGGCAGAGGGCCAGTTTTTTCAGAGATCTTTCCAAGTTTAAGCTAATTTAGACACACTGTCTTCTGGGGGTAGGGATGTCAAGGAGCTGGGGCTTCCCCCCCCCCTCAAAGGTACAGGACTTTCCTGTCATTTTCCAAGAGAAAAACTCCCATAAGCACCCCAGTCGCACAGAGCTGCTGCAGACTACACTGCTTCCTGAGCAGCTATATCTCATCAACCGTGACAATCCTGGATGGGTCTCTTAAAGACAACACAACTCAACTGCTACACACAGATTTCAGAAAAAAAAAAAAGGGGGAGGGGGAAGCCCAGTCCCTAGACCCCTGCCCAGTTTCCGAAGAACTTCTGCAAGCAAAAGGTGCTCAAGCAGTAGTCGGTCCCTCAGAGGTACCCTCAACTGACTACCATATAGAAGTGACTTCTGTCCTGCTGATGACTCCAATGTAATGATAGAATAACACCCCTGTAGTAAGCCGCTGTTTAAAGAATACTTAAAAAAAAAAAAAAAAAGACAAGTTACTAGATTAAGGCCATTATCAGGACCAGTAATTCTAACAACTGCACTCCCAGTTTGAAACAGCACCACAGTTCAGACTTAGCATTCTATATTAAGAACACCCTACTTTTCCCCATGCAGCTATAAATCCAGAATCCTATTTAACTGACCATTGGCAGCTGGGGATAAAATAAGGCTCCGAACAAGAGATCTAAGTTTCTCAAACTAGGTGACTAACTTCAACCATAAAGATAACGTTTAGACACATCAAAGCCAGATCGGGGATAAGGTTTCAAATACTGGCCTTATATTGCTTCCTCTCTCCAGTAAGTTTAGTTTCAGCACTACACAAGAACACTTCTTTAACTTGAAACAAAACACCTGACATCAGATTTCATGCAACTCCATAAAATTTACACATATTCCAAAACAATTCAAATAAAAGCTTCTATATATTTTGTCATGGAATATTTAATAGCTCCTAACCTGAACATTAATTGCCTCTAGTTTAAGACTAGACAACAGCCAGCCACCTGCAGTATAATCAGAAATTGCTGACAAGATAGAGCTTGGGGGGGGGGGGGTTTCTTCGCTTTTAGCTTGACAATCTCTCTCTAGTTTTCATTTACAAATTACAAGACTATGATAGCAAAAACATTCTGTATTTTCGCAAATGACAACATCCACAGTCAGCACTATTCACACGCCGTAACACATCCCCTAGAATTATACAAACTTCACAGTACAGAGATCCTCAGGGACAACACAGTCATTATAAGGTAAAGCTTGGGTGGAAAGGTTATTTAAACATTAAAAGCTCCCACTGCTTCACCTTTTCATTTTCCACGGTTTCTAACGCATTGGTAGAGATAGGATGAAAATATCTGCAAGGAGAAGGGAAAAACGTCTATATTAACTAGTCTTTAAAAGGAATTTTATATAAGGACAGGATTATACAGTGTGCTTTGCCTGCAGCAGGGAGGGACTATGGTAAATTAGCCAAGGGATCCTTTTCAATCCTGAAAAGCAACCCTACGAAGAAAACTTCTAGTTCCACATCACATACAAGCACCAATTGCTGTAGGTACTCTCAGATATAACCCTACAAATACGCTTATGAAGCTAGCAAAGAACCACAGTTGGAGCATTACAACGCTTACTGGAGCAATGCTCTACCATGTAGCTAATTCAACGTTTTTCCATATTTATACACAAAGATATTGAAGTAAAAAAAATCCACTGACTTATCAGATATTGCACATGAAGTAAGTGACAGAAGGAGAAACAAATCTGAAACATTAGTCACTGGAAGTTCTTGTTTCCTGCTGTTTCCAGCAGGATCTGTCCTTCTGAAACTACTAAGGACTTTCAGGGAATTCAGGGTTTTTTTTGTTCTGAAAAAAAGGTATTAAAAATGAGGAGATTTTGTAGGCTAAGACAGGCTTTTCAAATAAAGGGACGGCATTCAGCTAACAATTATTAAAATCTGGACTCCACCCCCGTTGTGTCTAGCAAGTAACGAAACTAAAAATCCTCTACTAATACCAAACACTGAGAGCTGAAACATCGTTTAGCTGTGTGGTAGCTATGGTAAAAGCTGTGGTAAAAAGGCTCTTACACCTTCCCAAACTTTATTTATATTAAAAAGTTAACAAAATATGCTAAATGTTTAATAGAGGGTGGATGCACATTCTTCGAAAAGGCAGATCTCATACTATAGATTGCGAAAGATCGTGCAGTTGACTCTAGATGCCTCTGATCTCCTCTCCAGCAAAAGTACAGAAGAAGAAAAGACAATTCTATCAGAATACCTAGTATAGTAACCATATCTTACAATTGTGATAAGAACAGTATTTCTCAGAAGCTAAGCATAACTTGATTCCTTTTACATAGTTTACTAAATCCACATTTTCAGAACAAAAAAAAAGGTATCATTATGGAATAAAAAGAAAACAGGAGAGATACAATCTCTTTCACTCTAAAACATGAAAACCACCATGTTTTCCATTCAATTAAAAGGCATAAGAATAACTCTGCATTTATGCAGTAGGAAACTAAATTTCTCGATTTTGATGAAACGCCTTCTTCCTTTCCCAAGATAAAGGACAAAGCTCTACATACAGCTTTCCAATTATTTCCAATTCCACTTACCACTGCTATTTTGTAAGGTGCTAGTTTGCTTTTCTATACTCAATAAGCCATCTGCATAAAGAAAACACATCAAAACTTCAAAAGATACACACCATAAAAATTAACAGCCATCCACATTTTTGCTGATAGATGATTAAGTACGGAAGAGTCTATAACAGATGAAGAACAAAAAAAAGTCTAGGGTTTCTAAAGCTTCTTAGGCATGTTTTTGAAGAAGGAGAGAAAAGATTAAAAATAAAAAAAACAAACAAACATAACCTCAAAAACAATTCCGCAGAGATACACAGCAAAGTCATGCAGGCAAATGAGAATATACAGTAAGCTAACATTCTGTATTGAAAGAATGACCAAACTTCTTTCTCGATGCGTAGCACGCCATCAAAACTCTTATAACGTCCAAGGAACAACATTCCAGCAACACACCCTGTGTTGCTCAATTCTTGCTGTGAGGAATAGTTTGAAGCCTCTCATATCATTTAATAAGACAAACAACAACAGTTGCATACACCTGCAAAAGCTCGTGAAGAAATAACACTGAGGAACAAACAGAAGCGTTCTCAGCCTAGCTCAGTGAGTGTTCTTGCAGTATTATTTAGTCTACGTTAAAAATAATAGTATTTCAAGGCATTTCCTATATTAAGCTTTTGCTATAGCAGACAAGAGAATGGTGGAAAACAGACCTCAAAAGAAAAATACACTATTATAGTGATAACAATACAGGTGTACTTTAAAAATTCAGACTGAATCCATACTCCAGGATCGTTATTACAGAACTACTGGAGGGTCTGTTATTCCATTGGTAGATAAGGGACAGAATAAAAATTCTCGTATCTGGAAACATTCGTGCACTTTTTTTGCTCCTTTTGGGGGAGCGGGAACCTTGTATCCTAAAAATATTTCCTTTTGGAAAAACAGTTACTTTTTCCTGCTTTTCTCTGTAGTTTTAGTGGGACGGAGATATTCTTCATCCTAGCTTTCTTTGTGCTGCCAGCTTGCTATTGACTTCCACACAACAGGTTGATACAGGACAGGGGGGCTGACACCACCCACGTGTGTATAATTTGAGATGTGCTTTGAGATACAGGGCATGACAAACGTAAGATTCTTAAAACTGATGCTCAATCAATTCACCACACTGGCTCCATTACAATTCTCCACAAACTATAAGCATTCATTTTAAGAAAAGATTTTCCTTCAGAATTAGACCACAATCACTGGCAGTTCAGCCAAAGCAGCTTTCATCAGATCCTTACTTACATTAAGAAGGATTTAGCGCCAAACCAGGCCTCTTCCTAACATGACAGGGAGTTCCCCCAAGCAGTGATAGAAAGAATGCATTCTTTCCACATCACTGTATTTTTTTTTCTTTCCCTTTTTTTTAAATGAAATATGGTATTTAATACTGATATTTTCATACCAAGAGCTGATAGCATAAAAGAATCTAATTTAAAACTAAACATTGACATAGTCAAAGTGTTACTAGTTTAAGAACTGCTAAGCAAGCAGTAAAGAAAGTTAAATGTCAATACTCTTCCTAAAATAAAACAGCAGCAACATAAAGAAAGTATCTAGAAAAAATGATCAAGGCAATACTCTGACTTAACTTCTTCTGAAATTATACATTAGGAAAACAAATTAAAAATTGAACAAACAACATTTTCTTAACACTCCTTTTAAAATTAGAAACAAAAGAAATAAATCAATTAACAATCTCCCCACTGAAGACCTATCACGTCAGATATTGGAACATATTCACAGACACAACTTGACATTGTTACCTTTTAGAATTAACGGTAAACAGCTGCTTTTTAAACTGATTTACCTCAACACATGCATCCTCTTGCAAATGAACGTTTAAGTACGGCCATTTGAAAAAGACCTTAGTACTGCAGAGCAGATCTACAAAGATTCAGTCATTGCAAAAAGCCCCTTGCACTCTGTATGCTAACCTCCCTAGAAGTCACCACTTACTCTCACTTCCAACAGCAAATCAGAATACAAAATCTCTCAAAAGAAGAAAAATCCCATTTCTACGTGTGCGTTTGTACTTACAGCCATGATAAGATGCGGGGGAGCCTCCAGACTTTCCATATTCTTGCTCTGAGTAGCTAGTGGATAAGTTTGGCTGGCTGGAACCTCGGCCAAACGTGATCTGATTGCTACCGACCCCAGTGGCCACCTGAGCCATGCGTTCTTTGGTCTTCAGGGCTTGGGCCCTCTCTGTCTTGAGTCGCTCATCATCCTTCAAAAGAGACACTAACTGCTTGGATTTCTCCCTTACATTGATGCCCTGGTCTTTACCATCTCGATCAATATACTGAAAATCTTTCAATGTCTGGATAGCAAAAATATTCTCTTTACACTGCTGTGCCACTCTCTCAGAACCAGTTTTAATCAGGTAATCTAACAGAGTAAGGGCCTTGTATACGTGTCGCCAGTTTTTGCCATGGTCGTTCAGCCGTTTCCAGATCATGCTCATAATTTCAGAAAAGGCCACAACATTGTAAGTCAGATCTGCTATTTCAGTCATTAACGAACTGGAGGGACCCCAGGGGTCATTAGAGGTTGCTTCCCGAACTTTTATTTCGGCTTCTGAATAGTTGTTCACAATGTTCTTCATCTGCCGCCTAATAGACGAAGTCGTCATTTTTATTTCCCTTTTTAACAACACAGACTCCAGAACACAAACAAACAAAAAAAGGGCTATATTTGCTCTTCTATGAAAGTTTCTGAACTACGAAGACTCCGTATCAGTGACTGGTCTGTAACAAGTTCCACTACAATCATTTCCTCTCTTCAAAAAAATGATACGAGAAAATGAAAATCATGACCTGGAAAGGAAAGAAAACAAAGCATGTTAGTTGAGTCTTTAGTTATTCCTATGTGGAAAGTAATCTGTAAACAGAGAAACTTTGCTGAAGTCAGCCGATGACTTTTCTCTCTAAATTTCTCAGGAGATCTGATTTTTGAAAAGAACTTACTCACCTCACCTCAAGAATAATGGATAGACCAGGTACTGAAAATTCACATTATTTAAACAGGTAATATTAAAGTCCAATGTTAAAAACATCAGAACTGCTAAATGGGATAAACAAAAGAAAATATCCATGCTGATGTAGATGCAAAAATTGAAAAGCAAAATAACAAACAGAAACTAAGTCTAAGAAACGAGCTACAGATTTAGCTTCCAAAAAGGTAAAAACAATCTTAGAAACTTTAATACAGAAATTATCTGTTGTGTTGACAGCTGGCAGAGCTTAGATTAAACCACACGAGAAATTCCATGTTTAGCAGTCATTAGGTTCTCTCTAATGGTTAACGATTTCACTGTATTAGTCTAATACAGCTGCTGTACGAATCTGTGTACTAAGTGGATAAGAGAATTTCCTAAAAAAATTAAACCAGGCTACTTCTGAGATATCTCAACAAACTTGAGGAGCATGCAGTTTCGGGCACAGATCTTGAACTGTGCTCTGTATTCAGCTAAGGCCTAGGGAAGAGAAGTGAACACCAGAATGATGCATTCCAATTCAAGGTGACCTTTAACGCTAAGCAGATTAGAGGGATTTTTTTTTTCCAAATGCATTTACTTTGTGCATTTGACGGCACTCATCAGATTCATAGTTTCTGCTTTGTGCATCTTTCACATAGCACAAAGGAATTTTTAACTATATGAAAATGATATTGTACAACTAAAATGACTGGCAAGAAAACTCAAGGACACGCTTTGGAGCTGGGAAGCCCGTTCAGTTATTTATTTAAGATCACTGTGTTTCAAGTCAACAGAGGCCTATTAAGCTTTAGAATACATTACTTGAGTAAACAGACAGATTTTGATACTGCATTAACACAGTTAGAATAGTCTTTGATAGCTGTCAGTTGTTCAAACACTAAGCGCTGATTGCATAAAGAAATCTGTCACATGGCACATTTAAGATGCCCTCTAATAACATCTATCCAAACACTTACAAGAAGCAACAGGACCATTTACAAAAGACATGGGAAAGTGAAGTCTAACTTTGTCATCATTCTTCAAATTACTATCATGCGATTTAAAATGAAAGTGGAATTAATAGTTAACTTAAGACAATATGTAAATCTAATATTACTTCTTCAATACAAAGGCATATACCCTTTCTAGGAAACAATTCTGAGCAAGTTAAATTACTCCAAGACAAGTCTGATGTCTTAAAGTATTTTATTCTGTTCCACAGAAGTTAATCTTCAGCAGAATAAAGATAAAAATTATGCTATCATAGAAAATTAGCTTAGCCATGAAATTAACATTAAACTTCAGGTAAACTACGTCATCCTAGTGTTTTCCTCAACATTTAAACCCAACTCTAAGAGAAGAATGTTGATCTGTTGTCAGATGGCTAGCAGCAATAGAAAGATAGAGTCATCTCCTCCAGAGGCTTTCGTAGCCCCAGTGGGGCTATATATTTTATAAACCCAGAATTTGAAAAAGATGATCCTACATAAACATTTCAGTGCCACTCCTATCAATATTTAAAGAGGTAAAGATTATAGGGCAAGAATCGCTTCAAGACATAAGTGAGGTCAAGAGTTCAACAGGATTCAGAAAAAACAGGTAGTTCCCTGTTAGACAAGAACTCTCAAGAGCTCTATTAGCAGTCAAGAAAAATGACTGTGACTTTTGACAGAGTCCATCTTCAGGGTAAAAGCAATTCTTTCTTTAGGGTAAAAGCAGCTTCACCTCATTTGGGCAAGAAAGGCAGTTCCCTAGTGGGCAGATTACTCCAAGATTATCTTCTGCAGGGCTTCTCACCCTTTCACAGGAACAGCTGAAAAGAGACCAACCTCAGGTCTAACACATGGTGGCAGATTGTATGGTTCATTTGTCTCACCCCTGCCCAGGGGTGAGGGAAGTACTCATGTGCTGTACTGATTCTAAACATTGCCAGTAAATATTCACATGATAAAAATCTAGCACCAGTCTTCACTGCCACATTGGCTTTTCTTTCAGTAGAATATCCACACCAAGAAAGATGTGCTGTTCACAAACATGGACTTGAACCGGTGTCAAGGTACTGCCGCATGTAGCTTCAGTACTAACTTGTTTTCCATTCCTGTAGTAGGGTAACTGCAGCCAAGTAATACAATAACTACACTAATACCTTGACTGTCACGAGCATCACAGAAAGAACTACTGATCTAACCAAATCCAGTAAACTACAAAACAAGTAGCCAGCACCATGAGTGAAAAATAGTTCTAGGTTACATCTGAACCATAAGCAACCCTACGCATATACTGTCACTTAACCACAGCAGCTAACATATAGTAGTCTAAATGGTATTTTTCTGTTAGCTAGATGATATGTTCACCAACAGTCCTATAAAAGAAAAACACACACACACACACACACCCCAATATACTTGTTATTAACCTTGAATTATTGTTAGGAGGACTCCTAAGTGTCCAGCGCGGCTACTTTTTTTTTCCACAATCACAACTAAACATCAACACAAAGCAAAATACAAAACCAAACTGAAGAAAAGTAGACACTGCAAGGTGACTAGAGGTAAATCACACAACAAGAATGAAATAGGTCCACAACGTGGAAGCTAGAATTGAACCAGGCAGTCTGCCATGACACACAGAGTCCAGCTGATAGCCCCTTTCCCAACAGCTCATCACTGCTGCTTCACACCAAAAGTTACCATTGTTCAAACCTGCTGGCTCACCTGCTCTTGTGATCGCTCCCTAATCCACTACCCTTGAAAAGGAGCTGCATTAATAAAGACCTGTTATTTAACCTAAACCATCTCCTTTTGTCAGTAATAGATTAAGGCAAGTTCACACAGAAAGCTGAAACAAGATATCCGAGGAGGTGGCAACATCTGATAGAAAGGTTGTTACAAAGAACTAAGAACAGGTTGCAAGCAACCTCTTCACTTGGCAGAGCTAGAGCCAGCAGAGGACACAAATGCTTCTATCCTAACCATGAGGACAGATATACTGAAGATATGGACCCCAGACTAGAAGAATACAAGCGCCCCATAAGGACTGAGCTTATCATCCAACCAGAAAAGCAGATGGGTAAACACCATGAAGCATCAAAAACATAAAATCAACAAAACATCCCAAACCAATTAGATAAAAAGTCCACCAAGTCCAGCATCCTGTGTTAGACATTAATCCTCATGGAAAGAGCATGGAGAAAGAACATATATACTCCCTTGTTTACATTATCAGCAGGTAAGCAGCTTAGACAGTGGATACAACCTCTGGTGCAGGGTATAACCATCACTAATGGAAACACTCCGTCTCTCCTAATACCTTCTCCAAGCCACTAGCATTCCCTCTCTCAGCAACCTAGGCAACAGCGTATACAGTAACTGAACTATGCGAACAAGAACTTCCTTTAGTTTGTCTTAAAACTTGGACATTTATTCTTCAAGGTGTAGACAGAGGGCTCACATTTTAAGCAATAACAAATCACCTTTAGCTCCTTTCTGTCACTCATGATTCACAGAAGGTGGCCATCTCCTTCCAAACTGTAAGGCTTAACCCCTCTATTTGGGAGCTGTTCCATGACATACTTATTTCTTGGGATATACGCAATTCCGAGCATCTAAGATAAGGCAGTAACACGGGTTTAATAATAATTTACTGCTTATGATTTATATTCTTTATCAAATAATTTCTAACATACCATTTGCCATTTGGTAGCTTTGCCTCCAATTTGTGCATGAGGACCTGGAAACGTTTCTTTTTCGCATGCAAATACATTGAGACAATTTCATTTGCCTTTTTATCACTCATCAGATCTCAATCTTTCTCCATTCCTTCCAAATATTCAAGATTAATTTCAGATTTGACTACTTTGGTTCAATTTGGTCACCTCAATATTCAGAAATGACCTGGTAAAGGAAGTGAGTATTTGCAAAAGCACAGATCTTTGGCATGATGCTTCACTGGAAATAACCCTTCACTGTGAGAACTGACCACTTATTACTAACCCAGTTTCCTATCTTTTTTAACCAGTCGTAAATCTGCGAAAAACATTCCTGTCTTATGAAAGTTTCTTTTTTCTTTAGGGGCCAGGGACAAGAGGCCTTATCAGCATTTTTTTTTTTTTTAAATAAACTACACTATACAACCAAATGGCAACACCAGCTTTTGGCTCATGAAATAAATACAACTGAAGAATTAATAATAATCCTAACATAAGCAGTCCCACAGGCAGCCAGGGTGCAATTTTGCACGTTATGCCTATCTAACTGCAAGCTGGCACCAAAAGCACTGGCCTCCAATCCTTCCAACAGCTTCCCCTTTATGTCTCTTGCATCAAACCTAGGAATTATGCAACAGCACAGTAAAGCTAATCAACTTCAGCTCTAACAGAAAATTAGCCTTTTGGCATTGGTTTGTGTTCTGCCAAATCAGTGAGCTGACCAGACTCGCTGCGCACTGACACAATCCCAAGTCCAGCTGCAAGGCAGACAGTATGAAAAGAGTGAAAAAATAATCTAACTCTAGCCTGCCTTTGAAAGGGGCAAATTAAAAAAAGTTATCAAGCTCCAGAAAACAGTATCAGAAAGTGAAGAACATTCATTACTGCCCAACCTAACCACATGCACTATTAACTCGTAAACCTAGTTTCAGAGAAGAAGCCAAAGGAATAAAGGTGTGATCCAAGGCCCAGCTGTGTTCTCCACATAGGAGAGAGGTTCTCCACCTAAACTAAGGAACCCTACTTGTGGTTTTGCTGTAAAGCACAGGCAAGAATCAGAACACGAATTATATAGCCTCACTGAGTACAAAAACTGTAGTCTACTGAAAACCTCATATTCGGGAAAAAGTT